GTTGGAAAAAAGTTCTTAGCAAGTTTTTGGGTGCAATCACCCGTCTTCAGGCATAGGGAGTTTCTGCTGGTCTGAGACTCCAAGGTGCCTCAGACCAGCCAGTTGTATTCCCTTTGCTTTACAGTATGTGAGCCTCTTAAAAGTACAGTTCTCCACATTGATAAAAATACCACTACAGCACTGGCCTTCCTACAGATTGAACTATTATCTTTTTTAACTCCACAGCACAACTATCATGGCTGGTGACTTTCTATTTTTCTGAGCAAAGACCCCAAAATGAAAGCAAATGGGGTTCCTGGGGAGGCATATAAACTTACAACATTTAAAGAAGCAGTACTGCGTGTAACAACTAATGAACAGTACATCGCACAGGCAAATTTATCTATATTGTTTCTTAAGTAAACATGAATTAAAATGTTATGGGTCATTTGCATCACTGGCATGACACATCTACTGTAGCAGTGAGGACTGATTTTAAATGCTGCACCTGCCTGTGCCTACTTAGGTTACAGATTGAACCTTTACAGGGCTGCATGATGATGACTGCTTTTCCTGCAACTCATCTACCACTCAGTCCCCAAGTCTAACAAATCACTTAAGGATTTACTTGTAGTGGGATATGACCCCCGTATTTAAAGTGAAGGAGGAACTCAAAGTGTCTTCCAGGTCCCTAGTCAGGGATGGCAATAGCTGTCAGGATTTAATCTTTCCCCATTAAACAGAAGATCCAACTTGTTGGTTTGTGACAAAGATAATGTCAAGGTAATCAATGCAGTCTATTCTAAAGTATTAGTGAAATCTCTTTCTAGGTGCTTTTAACACCACTCAGCACCTTAGGTTCTGCATCTCCCCCAGGAACCATCCTGATCAGAGGCCCAGCATCACATCCATGTATGTAGACAACTCCAGTCTGGTGCTGGGACTTCTGTGTAGTTAGAGATGTAGTTAGCCCAGAGCAGTAGTTCTCAACCTTTTTGGACTCAAGGTGCCCCTTGCAGGACTGGAGGCCCCTGTCATTGCACTGGAGCAGTGGTTTTCAACTATTTTTCATCTGCAGACCCCTACAAAATTTCGAATGGAGGTGTGGACCCTGTTGAATTGCAAGTGTGGGTATTCACCTGTTTCTGAGTGATCATGGTCATCTTTCACGGACCACTTAGACATAGTCTGTGCCCCCCCCAGGGGGCCTCAGACCATAGCTTGAAAACTGTTGGACTAGAGGAGGCTCCCCTCATTGGACTTGAGGCCCTCCCTCACTAGACCCAAGGCTCCCCTCACTGACTGAAAGCCTCTCTCACTGGACTCAGGGCCCACATCCTTGGACTCCAGGCCAACGTCATTCGACTCGAGGCCCCTCTCACTGGACTCAAAGCCCTCGTCGTTGAACTTGAGGCCCTGCTCATTAGACTCAAGGTCCCCCTCACTGACCTTGAGGTCTCCTCCATCACTTCTGTGACGGGCACCCCCCACTCCCAAAATGGCTGCCTGGATCCCAGCTCTGCCCTCCTTGCCTGGCAGGGACAAGCCTAAGCCAGCATTTCCTGGCTCTTTCCCCATTGCCTCCAAAGGCCGTGAGGGCAGCCGGGCCAGGTGGCAGGCACAGGGTTATCATACATCTGGGTTTTCTGGACACGTCCTCTTTTCAGGTCCTCTCATCTCTGTCCAAGCAGTGTTTTGAAATCTGAACAAATGTCCAGGATCTCTCTCTGCTCCGTGGTGGGAGCA